TCCTGGTTAGGAAGATGCCAAGGTATTTCATTTTTTTTTTGTGGCTATTGTAAATGGAATTGTGCTTTTTATTTGGGTTTCTGTTTGTTTATTATTGGGGTAAAGGAATGCGATTGCCTTCTGCGCATTTATTTTATATCCTGAGACTTTGCCAAAGGACTTTATCAGTGTAAGGAGGTTTTGGACAGATTCTCTTGGGGTCAAGGTACACAATCATGTCATCTGCAAAAAGAGATCACTTGACTTCCTCTTTTCCTATTTGGATACCCCTGATTGCCTTCTCTTCTCTGATTGCTCTAGCCAGGACTTCCAATATTTTATTGAACAGAAGGGGTGAGAGTGGGCATCCTTATCTTGTTCCAGTTTTCAGGGGAAATGGTTCCAATTTTTGTCCATGTAGGAGTATGCTGGCTGTGGGTTTCTCGTTGATGGCTTTTACTATTTTGAGATATGTTCTCCGTATGCCTAGGTGTTCAAGGGTTTTTATCAAGGAGGGGTGCTGGATTTTATCAAAGCCTTTTCTGCATCTAATGATATAATCATGTGGTTTTTGTTTTGACATATGTTGATGTATTGCATTACATTTATGGTTTTACGAATGTTGAACCAGCCTTGCATCCCATGGATGAAGCCTACTTGGTCATGATGGATGATTTTTGAGATGTGTTGTTGAATACCGTTTGCTAGTCTCTTGTTGAGAATTTTAGCATCTATGTTCATCGAAGATATTGACCTGTAGTTCTCTTTCTTTGCTGGATCTTTACCTGGCTTGGGTATCAATGTGATGTTAGCTTTGTAAAATGATTTGGGGAGAGTTCCATCTTTTTCAGTCGCCTGGAATACCTTCAGTAGGATTGGTATCAGCTCCTCCTTAAATGTCTTGTAGAATTCTGCTGGAAAACCATCTGGTCCAGGGCTTTTTTTTGTAGGTAGTTTTCTTATTATGTAGTTGGTTTTCTTGATTGTTATTGATCTATTTAGGGTCTCAATTTCTTCTTGTTTCAACCTAGGCAGGTTGTGTGATGACAGAAAGTCCTCCATTTCCTTAAGGTTTTCAAGTTTATTTCCATACAAGTGTACATAGTAGTCTCTAATGATCTTTTGTATTTCTTCAGGGTCAGATGTGACTTCATCTTTTGTGTTTCTGATTGTGTTTATTTGGGTTTTTTCTCTTTTACTTGGTCAGTCTAGCTAGGGGACCATCGATCTTGTTTATCCTTTCAAAGAACCAGCTTTTTGTTTCATTGATATTTTGTATTATCTTTTTTTTTTCTATGTCCTGGATTTGGGCTTTTATTTTCATGATCTCATTTCTTCTACTGAAATTAGGGTTTTTGTGGTCTTGCCTTTCCAGCTTCCTTAGGTGACTTGTTAGGCTGTTAATTTGTGACCCTTCCATTTTCTTCATGTGCGTTTGTAGGAATGTAAATTTCCCTCTTACTACAGCTCTCATGGCATCCTAGAGATTTTGGTAAGATGTTTCTTCATTTTCATTTGTTTCCAGGTATCTTTTGATCTCTGTTTTGATTTCATCATTGACCCAGGAGTTGTTTAGCATCATGCTGTTTAGTGTCCATGTCTTTGTGGGTTTTGGGGGACCTTGTTGGTGTTGATGTTTAGTTTTATTTCACTGTGGTCTGAGAAGGTTCATGGTAAAATTTCAGTCCTTTTAAATTTGCTTATGCTTGATATATGGCCAAGTATGTGGTCAATCTTAGAATACGTTCCATGCGGTGATGAGTATTCTGTGGTCTTTGGATAGAGTGTTTTGTAGGTATCAATTAAGTCCATTTGGTCAAGAGTCACATTGAGGTGCCACATCTCATTGCTGATTTTTTGTCCTGATGATCTGTCTAGGGTTGTGAGTGGGGTATTAAAGTCCCCAGTTGTGATGGTGTTAGAGTCAATATCTTTCTTTAGTTTTCCTAGAAGCTGCTTTATGAAAGTTGGCGCTCCTATGTTGGGTGCATATATGTTTAGGATAGATATTTCTTGTTGATGGAGTGAACCTTTTATCATTATGTAGTGGCCCTCTGTATCTTTTTTAATTTTTGATATCTCAAATGGTATTTTGTCTAAAATTAGGATCACAACTCCTCCTTTCTTTTGTGTTCCATTCACCTGAAAATTTGTTTCCCATCCTCTTACTTTGAGTCTGTGCATGTCCTTTCTAGTGACATGTGTCTCTTGAAGGCAGTATATTGTTGCCTGGTGGTATTTTATCCATTTTTCCATTCTGTGTCTTTTCAGTGGTGCGTTTAGTCCATTCACATTCAGGCTAATTATTGAAATGTGAGAGTTCATCCCTATCATAGAGTTTATAAAGTTGTTGTTCTTCCACTTGGTTTTTTGTCTTTCTTTTGGTTTTGGAGTTGATTCATTTGTATTTTATTCTTTTTCCTGTACTCTTGTGAAGAACGTTGTTTTTTTTTTCCCTTTTCTTCTGTGTTTAGTACTTTCTTAAGTGTTTCATGTAGTGGTGGTCTGGTGGCAGCATACGTTCTTAGGGATTGGATATCTGGGAAAGATTTTAGTTCTCCCTCGCTGATGAAGCTTAACTTGGCTGAGTAGGTTATTCTTGGTTGGAATTGTTTTTCTTTTCTTTTTTTTTTTTTTTTTTTGAGTTGGAGTCTCACTCTGTCGTGTTTTTCTTTTAGGACTTTGAAGATAGGGTCTGAGCTCTCCTAGCCTGCAGGGTTTCTGTAGATAAATCTGCTACTATTCTAATTGGTCTTCCATGGTAGGTGATCTGACCTTTTTCTCTTGCTGCCTTTAGGATTTTTTCTTTTATACCTACTTTATTTAGGTGAATTATTATGTGTCTAGGAGTTGGTCTTTTCATTTGTTGTCATGCAGGGGTTCTCTGAATCTCTTGTGTTTGAATTTTTGCATCACTGATTAGATGAGGGAAGTTTTCTTGAATAATCTCATGGAAAGTTTGTTCCAGTGTAGTCTCTGTCTCCCTTTCTGCCTCAGGAAGGCCAATTACTCTTAGGTTCGGTCTCTTGAAGTAATTGCTCATCTCTTGAAGGTTTTGTTCTGTCTTTTTGAGTTTGTTTTCTGTGTTTTTAACAATTTGGTTTAGTTCTATATTTTGGTCCTCAAGTTCTGAGATTCTTTCATCTGCTTGAGTAATTCTGCTTTCCATGCTTATCAGTTTTTTATTTATTTCATTCACAGTATTCTTTATTACTGTTATCTCATTTATCACCTCCTTCCTAGTTTCTTCTTGTCTCTCCTGATTTCTTTTTAATCTCTCCATTAATGTCTTGATATCTAGGTTTGTAGTTTGAGGCCAGTCATTCTAGGGGCTCTTCATTGTTTGCATTCCGAAGTCAGTTTTCTGTGTCTGCCCTCCCAGGGGTCTGGGAGAGACCCATATTCTTTTGGTTTTTCTTCATTTTTCTCTCTCTCCCCCTTTCCCTCCCCTTCTTTAATTCTGTTTTTCAGGGAAGATGGGTTTGCTTTTGCTTCACTTGTGCAATCTCCTGTTCTTCCTTATGAGGGTCCTCTGGCTTTGTTCACTTTTGAGTTTGGAGTGTGGGGTGCTGGTGTACTTTTTGCAGTTTTGAGGTTTGTTTGAGGGGGAAGCTGTGATTCAGAATCTATATGCAGATTCCAGCATCCACCAACCGTGGATGAGCACACTGGAACCTATTTCCCACTGCCTTACAATCTATCTGTGCATCAGTATGTAGGTTTTGTCCCTAGAACAAAAGGAGGTACAAAAGAGGAGAATAATGGAGGAAGGGGGGGTCCATAGGAAGTTAGAAAGAGAGAAGAGTGAGAGAGAAAACAGACATACATACCAACTAACAAGTGAAAAAGAGACACAAGGCCAGAGAGAAGTGAAAAAAACACGTAAGCAAAATTCCCTAAAGAATACTGGTAGCTACACATAGACAGACCAATAAAATCATGACTTTTGATGCTTTTTGCCTAACACAAACTGATAGTGTAAGTCAAAAAACAAGCAAAAGTGAGCAAAACAAACAGTCAAAATGATAAAATCAAAAGTCAAAATAAGAAATTAGACTGACTCTTGAATCTTTCCTGAGTATCTAAAATCTCTTCAGCTCTGATCTCCAGCCTCTCCCGTTTGTTTTCTTTGCAGACAACTAGATTTACTCACAGCTTGGGTTTTCTTTTAGCCTGCTTCCTGGGAGGTCTGTGACACTTAGTTGCCTTTGTCTGATTTGGCGAAGGGTAGGGGCTTTGTCTCCTGTTTAGCGATGTTACCTTAGGAACTGAGGTGAATGCTGCTCATAGGTGGGCGGGGCAATGCAAATCTCTGCCTGGAGATTGTCCGAGGTGGCAGTTTCTCTTTCACAGATACTTTCTCTCCACTCATCTGGATCCCTGGGTTATCCACTATAATGGACTGTAGTGGCATGGGAGGCATCGGGGATCAGCTGCATAGTTGGGCGCTGGATCTGGGATGCCACCAGCGGACTGGGGTGGAGGAGGGGGTCAGGAGTTCCCTTCTCTGGAGCTGAGAGCCTCCGATCAGCACCTACTTAAGATATGCTGTTCCCTGACACAAGCATTGGGTCACGTGCTGTGTGCCTCAGCCAGGGTGGACCCAGAGCTCCAAACCTCCAAAGCTCCAAAGGGCAGGCGGTGAGCGGCGAGTGTGGCCCTGGGCCCTCACAGGGTACTTCAGCCAGAAATGGAATTGGTATCTTTGAGGGGCGGGTGCCTAGAGCCTCCCTGGGTGACTGGCGGCTTGATGCTGGGTGCTGGGGGAGACAATGTAGCTAGGGAGGAAGCCGAGACCCGAGACTCCGGCATGGGCGGGAGTCACGTATAGTGGAGTATCAGCAGCTGGGGGCCGCAATATCCAGCCCTGCATGGGACCGAGGGTCCCCGGGCTTCGGACCAGTGCGGCTGGCCATGGCAGGGGGGTGGGGGAAGAGCTCTTTATTAATTCTGAACCTCTTAAGTATAATGCACTATAGCTGAAACACATGAGACAGATGTTTTTATTTTTGTTCTAATCATTATTCAGTTAAATTACTAGTTATATATCTACCTTAAACCTTATTATTCTTGAAAGAGTGGCATTTATATAAGAATATGTCTCAAAATTATGTCTCTGACATTATAATTATATATTTGGGGGAAAATTTATAAATCTACTCACAGGGATCAAATCTCAAATTCAGGATTTGTCTTTTTTACATGTATTATATTAAGGATCCTATATTACTAATAGCAGCCACTGGTCTTAATTCACACAGCAATATAAATGGCCACATCTGCTCATGTATTTTTTGGCATTCATATTCTGAGTTCATATTAGTTCATTTGAGCTTATTATTACCTCCGATCAGAATTTTTTTAGTAATCTTTAATTTGACTTAGTACATTTAATAAATATGTTTATGGATATATTTCTTTTTCCTCTAATTGTAGCTCTCTGTTCGGAGTCTGATATTTTTAGTAGCACCCTTGATACATTAACTGAGATAGAATGGAATCCTGCAACAAAACTACTAAATCAGGTAACTTAATGTATTTTCCAAAACATAATACTTTTTGTAACTCCATTGGATTTGTTGTTGTAGCACATTTTAGTAACAATTTTAGCTCTAATGAAGGCTTCTCTCACTCTCTACACTTCTTGATAACTCTGAGGCATCTAGAGGAAGGCTAGAAATTTCAGAAGTCAGGTGTGTGCTAATAAGTAGACCTTTGCTTCTACCTTTTACTAGCAGATCTCAACATCTATGATTGTCAATTCTGTTTTGCCTTGAGAAATCCCATGAGGGTAAAAAGACTGATTTTTAAAAGTATCAAAATTCTCAGACATTTAGAATGTATAGAATGATACATTAGAGAGAATTTTGCTAGATAACCTGAAAAATAAAGAGACATATACAGAGGGTGCCAAAAAATGTATACATTTTAAGAAAGGAAAAAACTGTATTAAAATTGTAATAATATATACCAATAACAAAAAATGAATATAAGTCACATCTGACATAAGAGGTATTCCAAGTGGTTATCATCAGCATCAACACTTCTGATTATGGCAAACATCTCTTAAAATGTATATACATTTTTTTTGGCATCTCTGGTATTTTTATCCACACACACACACACACACACACACACACACACACACACACACATATAGTCTTAACAAAATTTTATAAATAAGGAATACTGTGATAGCTATGTCAGTAAGTTTAGATTGCATGTTAACTTTCTAGATTGCTCATGTTTAAAGATATCTAATTGCATAATGTATTTATTTTAAAAATTTTAATCTTAATTTTGAGATATGATTACAGTACTTATTGTCATTAGTTAATGCCTATAAAATAGTATAGACAAAGTGCTTTTGCCTTCCTAAGACATACTCTAAAAGTTTGGTTTTTTTAAGAAAAATCCCTGGTATAAAGTGTTTTTTTTTTTTTTGGTTTACTTTTTGTTTTGTTTCGTTTTTTGACTCCATTTATCTCTTTCTCATATTAGTATAGAAAGTAGAAATAGGCCTCTTTGGGTGTGGTAAAACATAGCTACTGTAAGTTTTAGAAGTCAATAAATAATACTTCTGTTTTCCTTCTTGAATTCAAGCCTTTTGAGACATAAAATAGGAATTGGATAAATGGAAGATTAAGGTGTCAGCTTTATTTATCAGAAGCTTGAGCATTTGTGGCCAAATGGACTTCCCAATAGTTACCCATCCTTCAGTTAAACTTTCCCTGTTTGACATGGGCAGTCAAACACGCTTTATTTATATGATTGTTTTTTTAAATTCTACTCCTTTCAAGATAACATACTATAAGTTAGCTACTTTATCAAAATGTAGACTATTAGAAAGATATTGAAGAAATGAGTGACCTAAACCACTGAATGAGTCAAAAGTTAATTATTTAACTCATCTCAATTTTAGTTAAGAAAGCAAAGAATATATGATGTGAATTCCTTCTGATTTGAAAATCTGTTTTTGTTTATAATAGGAAAATGTAGAAAGTGAGTTGAATACACTTCGTGCTAACTATGATAATCTGGTATTAGACTATGAACAACTAAAAAGAGAAAAACAAGAAATTGAATTGAAATTAAAAGAAAAGAATGATTTGGATGAATTTGAGGCTCTAGAAAGAAAAACTAAAAAAGATCAAGAGGTAAGAGTCATAGAATTGTGAAAGTAAACTAAAACTACACTTTTAAAAGAAGTGTCATTCTTTTTCTCCATAATATAAACTTTTTCATGTTTTATTTTAAATTCATAGATAATATTTTATGTTTTTTAAACATTTATTTATTTATTTATTATAGAGTTGTGGGGTACAAGTGAAGATCTACTACATAAGTAGGCTATATGCAGGTGAAGTTTGGGTTTCTGGGTGCCCCTCACTCCCTCATAGTGGACCAGGTACCCTTTGTGTTCTCATGTGCCTTCCACTCTCCTCCTTCCCTCACTCCTAGCAGTGCCCATTGACTGTTGATCCCACCCTTGTGCTAATGTGACTAGTGATCAGGGCCACTTATGAGTGAGAACATGCGGTATTCAGTCCTTTGTGTGATAGTTCACTTAGTATAATGGTTTCCAGCTGCATCCAAGTTGCTACAAAGGCCATGATTTTGTTCTTTTTTATGACTGTAATATTCCATTGTGTATATGTACTACTTTTTATTAATTCAGACCACTTTCAATGGGGCAGCAGGGTTGGTTCTGTGTTTTTGCACTTGTGAATAGTGGGCAGTAAACCTGTGTGTGCAGGTGTCTTTTTGGTAGAGCAATTTATGTTCTTCTGGGTATATTCCCAGGAGAGAGATTGTTAGATTGTATGGTGGATCAATTTTTAGATCTTTTAGGAATCACCACATTGCTTTCCATAGAGTTTGAACTAGTTTACATTCCCACTAACAGTGTAGAAGCTTTCACTTTTCTCTGCAGCCACATCAGCACCTGTTGTTTTTTGACTTATTAATGACAGCCATCATGACTGGAGTTAGGTGGTGTCTCATTGTAGTTTTGATTTGCATTTCTCTGATTATGAGTGAAGCTAAGCATTTTTTCATGTGTCTTTTGGCTGCTTGTATGTCCTTTTTTGAGAAGTGTCTGTTCGTGTCCTTTGCCCACTTTTTAGTAGGGTTGTTTATTTTTCCCTTTTTACTTCATTTGAGTTCCTTGTAGATCCTGGATGTTAGACCTTTGTCAGATGCATAATTTGGAATTTTTTTCCCCCATTCTGTGAGTTGTCTCCCCACTCTTTTTTTAAATTTAATCTCACTGTAAAGCAGAGCTGAGCACAGTCTCTTGATGGTTTCTTTTGCTGTGCAAAAGTTTTTCAATTTGATGAGATCCCACCCGTCTGTCTTAGCTTTTATATCATTTGCTTTTGGGGACTTGGTCATGAATCCATTGCCCATTCTGATGTTCAGAAGGGTATTTCCTACATTTTCTTCTAGGATTCTTATAGTTGGAGGTTTAGGTCCATGATCCATTTTGAGTTGATTTTTGTATATGGTGATGGGTAGGGGTCTGGTTTCATTCTTCTGCATGTGGTTAGCCAGTTTTCCCAGCACCATTTGCTAAACATGATTTTCTTTCCCCAATTATTTTTATTATTGGTGGTCTTGTCAAAGATGAGTTGGTTGAAAGACTGTTTTTACTTCCAGAATTTCTGTCCTGTTCCATTGGTCTATGTCCCTATTCCCGTTCCAAGACCATGCCATCTTGGTCACTGAATGAAGCTTTGTAATAAAGTTTAAAGTCCAGAAGTGTGATACCTCCCACTTAGAAAGAAATCAGGGGTGTCTAATAGGAATAGAGGAAGTTAACCTATCCCTCTTTGAGGATGATATGATTCTATCATTATGGATTAGAATCTGTGAATTCTAACTCTAGGGAGTCTGTCAAAAGCCTTCTCACGCTGATAAACAACTGGGACAGCCATGGATTACAAAATCAACATGTAGAAGGCAGATGGCACAATGTCTTCAGATTTGTGTTTTTTGCTAGATTATTTTGGGTATTGGGGTTCTTTTGTGGTTTCATATGAATGTTAGTATTGTTTTTACTATTTTTGTGAAGAATATCATTGGCATTTTTAATAGGGATTGCATTGACTCTGTGGATCACATTGGGTATTTTGGACATTTTAACAATATTGATTCTTCATTCATTGCCATATGACACCTTTCCATTTATTTGTGTCTACTTCAACTTCATTCATTAATGTTATGTAGTTTTCATTTTAGAGATGTTACCTCCTTGTTAAATTTATTTCTAGGTTTTTTTGGGGTTTTTTTTAGCTCTTGCAAATGGGATTGTTTTCTTGATTTCATTTTTAGATAATTTGCTACTAATGTATAGAAACATACTATGATTTTGTGTATTCATTTTGTATCCTGCAACTTTACTGAATTTATTAGCTCAAACAGTTTTGGGGGAAGTTTAGGGTTTTCTTTATATAGGATCACATCATCTGCAGGCAGGGCAATTTAATTTCCTACTTTCCAGTTAGCATGCCTTTTATTTTTGACTCTTGCCTAATTGCTTTGACTAGAACTCCCAGTACTGTGTTGAATGAAAGTGGCAAAAATGAGCATCCTCATCTTATTGTTCATTCTTTTCTTTTTCTTTTCTTTTTTTTTTTTTTTTTTTGCAGATCCTTTAATCTTCTCTTTCTTTTTTCTCTAGTAGCATGTTTTGATTATTTGCTTTATAATTTTAGTATACTGATGTTACTCAGAAGTATTCTTTTAAAGATGTTTGTTTCTAAGATTGAGATATTAATGATCTAACCATATTTCATGTGTACACACAATTTAGAGAATTTAAGAAATATTTAGTTCATTCACGTGATTTTAAAAATAATTAAAATATATTTGTTTCTCTTGTGTTATGCAAGAGAAGAAGGAATTAAAAGCATCTGTGAGTCGGGCTCGGTGGCTCAGCCTGTAATCCCACGCCTTTGGGAGGCTGAGGTGAGTGGATTGCCTGAGCCCGCGGGTTCGAGACCCACCTGAGCAGCGAGACCTCATCTCTACAATAAATGAAAAAAAATCAGCCGGGCGTGGTAGCGCATGCCTGTAATTCTGGCTACTTGGAAGGCTGAGGCGGAAGGATCACTGGACCCCACCAGGTCGAGGCTGCGGTGGCCGGAAGCGGCCACTGCACTCCAGTCTGGGCGACAGAGTGAGACTCCAACTCAAAAAAAAAAAGCATCTGTGGGAGGATTTTGGTGTGTCTACCTCTTGACAGATCTATCTTGAGGATATTGTTTCCTTATAGTTTGTGTATTATTAATATTTAATTTTTTGAGGATACCATAAATGCCCATAGCATAGCCATTTCCTACTGAGTTCAACATGAATTTTAATATCTAGCTGACTGCTTAATATAAGTATGCTACATATTAATGAAATTTTTTCCCTTTTTTTGAAAGTATAAATAGTTAAAACATTACAATAGCTAGAAAAGCTGATTTTGCACATTTTACTTTTCTTTCTCCGTATAAGAGAGTTATTGTGGAAATTAGTGTAACTAATAGTACATGTTTTAATAGAATTTTTTAGAAGCAATAGATCTCAAATTTTTTAAGCTGTAATATTAGACTATATGTTAAGCAAACCTAAGCCAGAAACCATCAGACTTTAGAGACTCAGAAATTGTCTAAAAGGTATAAGGGATTTCTTAGAGTAAGGTATCCTTAACCTAGAGTCCATAGACTCTATGAAATTATTTTGCAGAATTTTTATTTTATTTTATTTGTATTTATTATTATTATTTATTTTGTATTTTATTTGTATGTATTTATTTATTTATTTTGAGTCAGAGTCTCACTCAGTCGCCCAGGCTGGACAACTCACCTCCTGGACTCAGGTACTCATTCCATCTCCGCCTTCTAAGTAGCAAGGACTACAGGTGCTCACTACTGTGCCTGGCTAAATTTTCTTTTTTTTTTTTGGTATCATCGAGCTCTCATTATGTTGCCTAGGCTGGTCTCAAACTCCTGAGCTCAAGTTATCCTCCCACCTCAGCCTCCCAGAGTGCTGGGACTACAGTGTGAGCCACTACGCCTGCTCCAGAATTTTTAAATACATATACTTTTTTTCTGGAATAAGAATCCATAGCTGTTATCAGACTTGCAAAGTGATCTACGAATAGTGCCCCCCACCCCCACCCCCAGCCAAAATAAGAGCCAGTATTTTATGTAGTTAAAATGAATTAATTTGCACCTACTTTTCAGACTTATGTATGCCAGCCCAAAGAAACATGATCTGTTTTCTTCAGTATTACTGTTTAGTATCTCACCCTCTTTTTTTTTTTTTGAAGGAAAAAAGAATTCTATGTCAAAGCTGTTATTTCCATTTTACCTACAAATTAAAATTATTCCTACATTTTATAGATATTATATCCAGAGTGATAAAAGTCTGTAAGTTCTTCTCAGAGTTTCATTTAACGTGTTTTAAGTTTGCCTATTAGCAAAGTGCAAAATATCATGGAAAGAACATTGGACTTCAGTCAATCAAATTGGGTTTTATGGAGGCAAGTGGCCTAGTGTCACATTTAAGAGCATGATCTCTAGGGCAAAACTGTCTGGATTTAAACACCAGTTTTGCCACTTGTGAGCTCAGTGCAGATCCAAGCCCATCATGAATTACTGGCAAAACCCTGAGCAAGTAATTGAATCTCTTAGAGTTTTCTGCATTTCTCCACCCGTGGAGAGAGGTGCTTGCCAAGGTCTTCCTATTCCAAAATTTCATCCAGTTTTTGTATTTCTGATTAGTAATAATATGACATAAAACTAACTTTAGGCATAGTTGTGATAATAATTTCTCAATTTTTTTATCACATCATTAATATACTCAGTTAATACCAAAATTGAAGCTCACTGAATTGAGTCAGCAAACAAAGATTGCAGAATAACACAGAATATATAACTTGTATCATATCCCAGTTTTTCTTCCATTTTAATGACAATTAAGGGAGGGAATTAATCTTACTCCCTTCATTATTAGTTGTACACAAGTTTTAAGGTTACCTAAAAGATTATGTAATAAAATCTTGCCCAGTTCAAAAACAGTTTTGCAGTATCCATTCCATGTTGAACTAAAAATATAAGTCTGCATGTATATAGCAAAATATATTTCAAAATTCACGTTTTGGGGAAAAGTTTAATCAACAGGGAATAAAAGTCAAATTATGACCTTACGACATGGGTTAACTTCCTGATTTTCTTAAGGGTTTTGTCAAAAAATCACCGAGACTGTGTATAAATTTTAAGTGGGAATATAGTCACATAGGATGCTTATATAATATATTTTAGAGGGAGGAATAAAAAATGTCAAATATCATACTTGAGGAATAAGAAAAGGTTTTATCATCTGCCTGTTTTAGTTTGGTTTTTTAATCTTACAATTTTCATTCCTTGGAAATTTAAGGTAAATTTTTTTTTCGCCTGCTGAGAATTACAGTTGAAATCTAATATTTTCATATGTGCAAGGGTTAACTGTTATCAGATTGTATGTTTAAATAATTTTTGCTTTTTACACACTTCTTTATGCTCAGTATCTTAAACAATACATCAGTGGAAGGTTACACTTTTATCTTTATGAGAGTTAATGTTTCTCTATTTCAAATAAGAAGTGGGAGAATTTTTCTAAGTCATTATTCTCTAAATGTTTTCAAAAGTTAGATTGATTATTTGTTTCCTCCTTATTGGTAAATGTGATTTTCTTACACAGAAGTTAGAAAGGGGAAAAAAGATAAAAGTTAGAGCCAATTTAAATTATGCAATTTAAATTACAAGTGTAATTGTACAAATGTCTAAGACTGTGCTATGTAGTATGCTAGTCACTAACCGTATGTGGCCATTAGGCACTTGAGAAGGTATCAGTCTGAATTGACTTAAGTATGAAAAAAGAATGTAAAATATTTCAATTTTTTATATTGACTACCTGAAGAAACTGTATATTAAATAAAATACATTATTAAAGTTGTCTGCCTGCTTAACTAAAACATTTTAAGTTGTCTGTGTAGCTTCACATTATGTTTCTGGTAGACAACACTGACTTAAAATAGGAAAATCACCATTAATACTAGTCTGAGACCTAAAACTAGTCAGTACTGAATTAAACATCCAGAAAATATTATTTAAATAAGATCCTGTTTTCTTAAGTTTCTTACATGTTATTAGAATTTGCTTTTAAAGCTGGGCTCGGTGGCTCAGCCTGTAATCCCACGCCTTTGGGAGGCTGAGGTGAGTGGATTGCCTGAGCCCGCGGGTTCAAGACCTGCCTGGGCAGCGAGGCCTCGTCTCTACAATAAATCAAAAAATCAGCCGGGCATGGTAGCGCATGCCTGTAATTCCAGCTACTTGGAAGGCTGAGGTGGAAGGATCGCCGGAGCCCAGCAGGCGAGGCTGCAGTGGCCAGGAGTAGCCACTGCACTCCAGTCTGGGCGACAGAGTGAGACTCCAACTCAGAAAAAAAAATTTGCTTTTACTCTGTAAGTGCTTGTCTAATCTTTGATCATTTGTTGTTTTCCTGGTTTGAACACAAAACTTTCTGGTACTCAAATATTTAATGCTATGGATATTTTGGTAGAAAGGAAACTTTAATAGAAATATGTTTACCTTTATACTTTTACGCAATTGAATAATATAAAGCAATAGCATCATCTTTCTAATATTTTCTATAGACAGGGTAATAGTTGATAATTTCATACCTCTGTAGCTTTGGTGAAAAGTAATAATATTGTAAAGATTCTATGTGAAATGACTCTCATCCAAACCTAGACCCTAATCAGACCTCAATGCAACATATGAAAAAAAAACATATTGATGAATGCATTTCTATACCTAACTTTCCCAAAACAAAAATCTATTAAAAGTATATATTTTTAAATGTTTGATTACCACTTTACTATCTCCTCCAAGTGGTGCGTACTAATTTGCTATTGACATTATTGTAGCTTTATTAATAGTATAATTATTTGGGGGATAATGCTAAGATTTTTATTGTTTACTTGTTTTCTGGGGCTTTGGTGGTATTTCTAGTATTTTTAAATAATGAAGTGTTTTGTTGCAGTAGCTTAAACATTTGATCTCTCAGTTTCTTCTAACTATGGTGATTCTGAAGCAGTGAGTAATGCTTTCTTTTTTTTTTTTTGGCTTTATTAACTATTGGTTTGCTCTGTTGCCTGTTCACATACTCTTACAGATGCAACTAATTCATGAAATTTCCAACTTAAAGAATTTAGTTAAGCATGCAGAAGTATATAATCAAGACCTTGAGGTGAGCGTTCATGTTGGTATTCCCTTTGATAAGTAACTAGAACTGTAAAATATGCAGCATTATGTAATGGAGCATGATTCAGAAAATAGAGGAATCATGTTTTTAAAATATTAGTAATTTTCAGTTTTACTATGAATTTAAACTAATACATATAAGTTCTTTTTTAATCCCTTAAAATTTTTATCAGATACTAAATTATGTTTCACTCTCCTTTGATTCTTTTAGAATGAACTAAGTTCAAAAGTAGAAATACTTAGGGAAAAGGAAGACCAGATTAAGAAGCTACAGGAATACATAGACTTTCAGAAGTTGGGGGATATAAAAATGGACTTGGCATACTCACTGGTAAAAATCAACTTAATTTTGTTGTGTAATTGTGTTAGCATTATGGTATACCATAACTGTAGCAAATGCTTATATGAGGTCTACTTTGTGCTGGGCAGTGTATTTTATTTGATCTGTCAATAACCCTATGAGAAAGGGTCTATTAGTATAATCGCCATTTTATAGATAAAGTTACATTTATAGAGTTGCTCATTTAAGTCTTTGAGTGAATAGAAGGAAGTTAGGGACAAACTTTCATTAAGAATCAGTAATTTTTAATATATAACCAAATTGCAATTCAACCACTCCAGGCACACATTCTCAGGACCTCCTAGGGACAGGTGTTCTAGGCCTGGTCACTCATATTAGCCAGAATAATCCATCTTAAAAGTTAAAAAAAAATAATAAATCAGTAGTTTTTTATATTTTTAATGTTTTCAATTGTATGCAAATATATACAGAAGTGTATATAGTTAAGTTCTTAAGAGAGCACTTATGTTAGAATTGACAAGTAACAAACTATAAAATACATATTTTAAGTAATGGAACATGACTTTATAAATTTTATTTACATGTTATTAATAGATATAATTCATTCTTATTATAATTTAACTATTTTAACAGTTTGAGTATGCTTTAGAATTAAGATCTTAGCATTGAATCTGATGGTGAAATTGTTAATCTCTTTCTAATTTGCTTTCAATTTACCTGATTACTTCATGGAAGTATTAGTTTGGTTCCAGTTTTTAACAGTTTTTTTTTTTTAAGGCAATAGTCTAGCAGGATTTTAAAAATATAGTTTCTGTTGCTCTTTTGTTTTCATTTTGAGTTTTTCAGAGTACTTTTTGTTACCTTTTATTAGTATTATTTTGTTGCATTCTATTTGTGACAATTTTTTTTTTTTGAGGGTTACATCATTTTATGCCACACTATCCTGAAGCCCTGGCTAGGAAGTCACTTTTCTTTGTGTTGGAGAGTAACTCAAAATGAAAACTCATAGAGAACTTCAACAGCTTAGCTGAACAATTGCATTAACTTTTATTTAAACAATAAGAGATTTCTTAAATTATATTTCCATTTGTTGCTTTTATAATTTGGAAAAATATGGGCAGAATTTTTTTTAAATTGTTATAGAAAACATTATTTTTTTCATTTATTTGGTTTTTAATATTTTTCACCCTTTTTAATTAGTTGGGAATAACATTTATGTTCATGTTCTCTAAAGTATTTTACGACTCTACAAAAATTAGATTTCACTGAACCTCTTTTGTCATCTGTCTAGGAAAATATTAAAGACCTAAAACAAATAAAACAGACTCTGTTTGATGCTGAAACCATAGCACTTGATGCCAAGAAAGAATCAGCCTTTCTTAGAAGTGAAAATCTAGAACTGAAAGAGAAAATGGTGAGTAATTTTTTAAAATATTTACTATAAAATATTTGTAATGATCTGTACATTTATGTGAATTTGCAATGTTTCTCTCACTAGCAAGAACTTTCAAGTACATGCAAGCAAATGGAGAATGATATTCAGTTATCTCAAAGTCAATTGAAGGCAAAAAAGAAAATGCAAGTTGATCTGGAGAGAGAATTACAATCTGCTTTTAATGAAATAACAAAACTCACCTCTCTTGTAGATGGCAAAGTTCCAAAAGGTATTTGGTAACTTCAGACATTTCTTTGCAAATCTGACTTCCTCTAGAAATGTACCTGAACTATTTGACAACTGTATTTCAATAATTAAAAATTCATTGTACTCTGATTTTTTAAAATAACTTAATATTAAGTTTTAATATCATTTGTACTTATAAGGATTTTCATGGGCTTCAAATCATAAATGTTTAAAAATTATTTTCCAAATAACTGGACCTGATCTTGATGATTAGCCTGTTTAATTTTACCTTCCACATTCAAGTGATTCAAAGACTATTAAAAATTAGATTACAAGTTTGCCAATATTGGCTTTTTATCTAATTTACCAAAACTTCCTAGATTTGCTCTCCAATTTGGAATTGGAAAGAAATATTACTGATCTCCAGAAAGAACTGAATAAAAAAGTTGAAGAAAATGAAGCTTTATGGAAAGAAGTAAATTTGCTCTCAGAATTGAAATCTTTACCTTCTGAAGTAGAAATGCTGAGGAAAGAGGTAAACATATTTTTAAGCACTTGTCCCTCATTTTGAAATAAAAACCTTTGCGATAATAGTGCCTTAAATATTCTGATATAGTTTATTTTAAACCAGCAGGCAAGAAATAATGTAAATGTTTGACTCACTAGCAATAGAAATGGATATAGTTCATCTTCTAGTTTGTTCTTACACTACTGGATGAAAAAAATATATTTTCAAAGGGTATTTAACTTAGTAACATAATGTAGCAGCCATTTCTGTAGTCCTCAAATGTTGCATTTAAGCAGTTCTATGGCTCACCCTTAGTCTTTACCTTTACCTATGATGAATAAGAGAGTAATGAGGTAAAGGGGCATAGCACTGATAAAGTTTTAAAAGCCAATACAAATCCTGCAGGCCAGGTTAGTAAATGATTCTATAAATTTATGGTCTGTTACCCTTTCCTTTCTTTCTGCTTGTCTAAAAACAATAAAAATGACAAGAATTTGAGTACTTATTATATAGCAAACATCATGGTAAAGAACTCAGAAACATTATTTAATTTAGTCATCCTAAAACCTTTTTCAAAAGTAGGTACTGTTTTTTAGTTCCAATTACCAGTTTTTTAACTAATAGTTGACCACACAGATCTGCCTCCTAAGCCTGTGATTTTAACCACAATGCTCTGTCCTCTTTCCTTTGCCTCTTCGTCTCTGCTTTTTCTCACCTTTCTCTGCCCTTAGCTTTCATAATGATTAAACTATTTATAAACTGAATATGGATTAAAGTATTTAAATATTACTTAAATAAAGGATTTTGAATACTTAAACATTATTTAAATTATTGATTAAATTTTTGGAAATCTGAGCAGCATTCAAAGCCTTAGGAAAAAAAGGTAAGTCAGTTTCAGAGAGCTACCATAGGATGTCTGCCATATGATAAAGATAGAAACCATTTTAGAATGATAGATAAGGACATATCCTGACTGATTCTATTGGCCTCATGAAATTCTCACTGGAACTCAGAGAGATTAGAAAACAAAACATTGCAGGTAAAATTAAACAGACTAAGTTATAGAAATGTGACAATAAGAATACTGGATTGCCTTTCCTCAGTCAAACCTTTGCTGAATGTAAATGAATTTTTTGCAGAGAAAGATTTTTTTCCTGAAAATTGCTTCAGCTTCAGTGAATCATACTTTGTTAACATCACTAAATCTTACTTCTTTTTTATAGATACATGATAAATCTGAAGAGTTCTATATAATAACATCAGAAAAAGACAAATTTTTCTCTGAAATAGTTAATAAGGAGGGTATAATTCAAAGTTTACTTGAAGAAATTGGGAAAGTTAAAGATGACCTAGCAACTACCAAGTTGAATTATAAAAGTACTGATAAAGATCTCCAAGATTTCAAAACCCTTCATATGGAATTTGAGCAGAAGTACAAGATGCTCCTTGAGGAAAATGAGAGAATGAATCAGGAAATAGGAAATCTCTCTAAAGAAGCACAAAATTTTGATTTAAGTTTAGATGCTGTGAAGACTGAGGTTTGTACCTGTTTCTATCTAGAGAAATGCTCTTTTGTCTCCTGAGATTCAATTTCTTTGTATGTATGTGCCACAGACTGCTCTGCTTTTACTGTGTCACATTTACCTTTTTTTTAATAGCTTTCTCACAAGACCCAAGAACTTCAGCAGAAAACATCTGAAAGTCAAGAAAGAGTAAATGAAATAAAACTGCTGAAAGAACAATTAGAAAATAGAGATTCTTTGCTGCAGACTGTAGAAAGAGAAAAAATATTCATTACTGAGAAACTTCAGCAAACCTTACAAGAAGTAATAACTTTAACTCAAGAAGTAGATGACCTAAAACAACTCCAAGAGAGTCTCCAAACTGAGAAGGACCAACTCAAAAGTGATATTCAGGATACTGTAAATATGGTAAGGTTTTGATCGATAAATTTTTAAAAATCAGAACCTCTTTAAAAACTTTACAGGAGCCATCATTTATTATTTATGATCAAGTAGTAACTATAAAATTACTTTAATTATCACATATTCTAATGAAAATTGTTTTATATTTCTCTGACAAAGAACATAGACACTCAAGAACAATTACTAAATGCTCTAGAGTCTTTGAAACAACACCAAGAAACAATTAACATTCTAAAATTGAAAATTTCTGAGGCAGCATCTGGGAATTTGCATATAGAGGAAAATATAGGAGAAACTAACAATGAATTTCAACAAAAGGTAAAGGGTGTTTACTTTTGAAATTTTCTTTTTTTTTTTTTTTCTTTCTTTCTTTTTTGAGTTAGAGTCTCACTCTGTCATCCAGATGAAATTTTCTTTTAATCTCTGTTTTGATTTTATCATTGACCCAGGAGTTGTTTAGCATCATGCTGTTTAGTGTCCATGTCTTTGTGGGTTTTGAGGTCTTTGTGGGTTTTGTTGGTGTTGATGTTTATTTTTATTCCACTGTAGCCTGAGAAGGTGCATGGCAAAATTTCGATCTTTTTAAATTTGCTTATGCTTGATTTATGGCCAAGTATGTTGTCGATCTTAGAGTACATTCCATGCAGTGATGAGTAGAATGTATATTCTGTGATCGTTGGATGAAGTGTTCTGTAGGTATCAATTATGTCCATTTGGTCAAGTGTCACATTGAGGATCCAGATCTCATTGCTAATTTTTTGTCCTGATGATCTGTCTAGGGTTGTGAGTGGGGTATTGGAAGTCCCTAGCTATGATAGTGTTAGAGTCAATATCTTTTTTGAGTTTACCTAGAAGCTGCTTTATGAAAGTTGGCACTCCTATATTGGGTGCATATATGTTTAGGATGGATATTTGTTGTTGATGGATTGAACCTTTTATCATTATGTAGTGGTCTTCTGTATCTTTTTAAATTTTTGATAGCTTAAAAGGTATTTTGTCTGAGATTAAGATCACAACTCCTCCTTTCTTTTGTGTTCTGTTCGCCTGAAAATTTGTTTCCCATCCTCTTACTTTGAGTCTGTGAGTGTCCTTTCTAGTGAGGTGAGTCTCTTGAAGGCATTAAATTGTTGCCTGGTGGTATTTTATCCGTTTTGCCATTCTGTGTCTTTTCAGTGGTGCATTTAGTCCATTCACATTCAGGCTAATTATTGAAATGTGAGAGTTGATCCCTATCATAAGGTTCTTACAGAGTTTTTGTTATTCCTGTTCATTTGTTGTCTTTCTTTTGGTTTTGGAGTTGGTTCATGTGTGTTTTTAATCTTTTGCCTGTACTCTTGTGAAGAACGTTGTAGTTCTTTTTTCCTTTTCTACTGTGTTCAGTATTTTCTTAAGTGTTTCTTGTAGAGGTGGTCTGGTGGCAGCGTAGGTTCTTAGGGATTGGATATTTGAGAAAGATTTCAATTCTCCCTCATTGATGAAGCTTAGCATGGGTGGGTAGATTATTCTCGGTTGAAATTGTTTATCTTTTAGAACTTTGAAGATAGGGCTCCAAGCTGTCCTAGCCTGGAGGTTTTCTGTAGATAAATCTGCTGCTATTCTAATTGGTCTTCCCTGGTAGGTAGTCTGACCTTTTTCTCTTGCTACCTTTAGGATTTTTTCTTTTATACCTACGTTGTTTAGGCAAATTATTATATGCCTGGGAGTTGTTCTTCTCATTTGTTGTCTTGCAGGGATTCTCTGAATCTCTTGTGTTTGAATTTTTGCATCACTGAGATGAGGGAAATTTTCTTGAATGATTTCATGAAATATTTGTTCCAATGTGGGCTCTTTCTCTCTCTTCCTCAGGAAGGCCAATTACTCTTAGGTTGGGTCTCTTGAAGTAATCATTCATCTCTTGAAGGTTTTGTTCTGTCTTTTTAAGCTTCTTTTCTATGTTTTTGACAGTTTGGGTTAATTCTGTATTTTAGGTCTTCAAGCTCTGAGATTCTTTCTTCTGCTTGACTAATTCTGCTTTCCATGCTTACTAGTTTGCTATTTATTTCCATCACAGTATTCTTTCCTGCTGTTATTTCTGTCATCAGCTCCTTCCTATTTTCCTCTTGTCTCTCCTCAATTTTTTTTATTCTCTCTATTAACGTCTTGATGTCTGGGTTTGTTGCATGTGACCAGTCATTCTGGGGGCTCTTCATTGTTTGTGTTCTGAAGTCTGTTTTCTCGGTATCTGACCTCCCAGGAGTCTGTGTGAGACCTATATTCTTCTTTTGGTTTTTCTTCATTTGTGCAGATTTTTCCTCCCTACTTTTTCCTTCCCTTCACTACCCTGTCTTCTTTAATTCTGTTATTCAGGGGTGGAAGGGTTGCTTTTACTTCTGTTTGTTCAATCTCCTATTCTTCCTTATGTATATCCTCTTGCTTTGTTCAATTCTGGAGTTGGACTGTAGGTTGGGGGCGGTCCTTTTTGCAGTTTTGAGATTTACTTAAGCGGGGAGCTGTGATTCAAAATCTATCTGCAGGTCCTGGTATTCGCCGACAGGTGTATGGATAATCTGAAACCCACTTCCCACTGCCTTCGAATCTGTCCATGCAGTGGGGTTGTAGGTTTACTCCCTAAAAGCAAAATGAGGTTAACAGAAGGAGGAGAATGGAGCAGGCAGTGGGGGGAAGTGGAGGGTAGAGAGAGAGAGGACTAAGAGGCAAAATAGACGAGCGTACTGACTAACAAATGAAAAGAGACACAAAGACTGAATCAAATAAAAAGAAAAACAATAACCATGACTACAAACTAACCAACAACCATACGCAAAAACTAAAACATACAATGATGCTAACGTACAAGCTTTCCAACCTCTTTATTGGTGTGCTATTCCTCTATACAAAGATGGGGTTTACAGAGAAATAAAAAAGAAAAAGAAAAAAAGAAAAGGAATAGATTAAAGTCAGTAAACTAATAGAACCAACCAAGCACACTCTGAGACTTTTCCTTTAAGTCCAATGTCCTTTCAGCTCTGATTTCTAGCTGTCTTTGCAGGCTGGTAGATTTGTTCACAGTTGCCCCTGGCCTGCTGTGAAGTGCAATTCAGATCTGGGCTCCCTGCCCAGTCTATCACTCAGATCTGGCCTTGTCTATTTATCAAAGGGGAAGAGTTTATCTTTTCCATTTTGATGTTTTTTTGGGTTTTTTTTTTGAGTTGGAGTCTCACTCTGTCGCCCAGACTGGAGTGCAGTGGCCGCTCCCAGCCACCGCAGCCTCGACCTAATGGGCTCTGGCGATCCTTCTGCCTCAGCCTTCCAAGTAGCTGGAACTACAGGCGCGCGCTACCACACCCAGCTAATTTTTGATTTGTTGCCGAGGCAGGTCTCGAACCCACGTGCTCAGGCAATCCACTCACCTCAGCTTGGATCCCCAGCAGGTGGTGCTGTCTCACTGCTCCAATTGATCTTTAGGCAGGGCGGAAGTCAGAGGGCGCCCAGGATGGGAGGGACCCAGCAATGGTAGCAGCAGTAGCAGCATCTGCCTCCTGGTACTCAAAAGGAGTGCCTAGAACCTGGTGAGGGGCGTGGCGTGGTGGTGGCAGCGGCAGCGGTGGTGATGATCTCAGATCGTGCTTGCTGGGGCTTCACGGTTGGAAGTCATGGGTCACCTCAGGCATGGGTGGGGCAATGGCCACGGCCGCATTTGCGACGGTGGCCCAGACCACCGTGATGTTTGAGCAGTGGTGGCGGTTGAGCTCCATGTGAAGAGTAGGCTGCCAAAGATGGGAGCTGCAGCCCGCAGGAGAGAGCTAGAGTCTTTATGTGTGTTCTCTTTCATGAAGGGTCTCACAGACCAAGCTGCCCCGTGGCTATCTTGCCGGAAATCTGAAATTTTCTTATATATATAATTTTTCTTTAACTTCAACAGTTATGTAGTAATAATCTCACTTTTGTTTGTTATCTACAATGATAATATCTAACAATAATTTTATTATTTTAGATATTAATAGTAAATATTCTGGATTAAATGGTATGAACTATACTAAATGGTATTAATTATAATAAAAATAAAATATTAAAAATTACTTTTGACAATACATTGTTGTTTTATTTATTTTATTTGTTGTTTATTTAACTTTAAGGGATAAATGTGCAAATTAGTTACATAGGTATATTGCAGTGGCTTATGCCTATAATCCCAGCACCCTGAGAAGCCAAGGCAGGAAGATCACTTGAGGCCAGAAATTCGAGACCAGCCTAGGCAACAGAGCAAGATCCCATAATAAAAAATTAGCTGAATATGATGGCATATGCCTGTGGTCCTAGCTGCTTGAGGCCAAGGTGTGAGGATCACTTGAACCCAAGAGCTTGAGGCTACAGTGAACTATGATAGGGCCACTGTATTCCAGCCTGGGTGACAGAGTTAGACCTTGTTTCAAAAAATAAAAAGCACAAATAAAGGATTGACCCTAATATTTTTTAAATAACTTTGAATATAACTGCTTATCAGTTTGAAAAAGAAATTAAGAGTTCACAATTCAGTCCATTACAGGAGGGAGTGCCTGTAATATTTTACAAGGGTTTCATTTATTATAACTTTCTACTTTTCCAAAATATCTTTACAATATATTGTCAACCCAGTGCAATAGAAGTCTAAAGCTTACCATCTTGCAATATACTTATATAACTAGCCTGCACATGTATCCCTTGAAGTTAACATAAAATTAAAGTATATTATCAACAGTAATTTTTTTAAATTCTATTTTTATTATAATTCATACCATTTAATCTAGAATATTTATGTTGTAGAATGTGTTAAAATTCTACAACAGGAGACTGGTGAAATAGTTTTTTATACATCTGTAGCTTGGAATAGTATACAGTAGTATTTCTTTTTTAAAATTTGTAATAAATATACATAACACAAAATTTACCACCTTAACCATTTTTAAGTATATAGTTTAGTAGTGTTACGTTCATGCATGATGTTATACCACCTATCTCCAGAACACTTTTTATCTTGCAAAACTGAAACTACACACCTTAAACAATCGTTCCCTGATTCCCCTGCCCCTTGGGCCCTGGCATTCACTCTTCTACTTTCTATCTATGAATTTGGCTACTCTGGGTACCTCATATACGTGGAATCATGCAGTATTTGTCTTTTTGTGACTGGCTTATTTTCATTAGCATAATGTCTTCAGGATTTATTTATGTTGTAGTGTGTGCTAGAATTTCCTTTCTTTTTATGACTGAATAATACATACATACATGTGCCGCGTTTTGTTAATCCAATCATTTATCATGAATTCTTGGGTTGCTTCCACATTTGACTATTAGGAATAATGCTGCTATGAACATGTGTATACAAATAGAAAAACCCTGCTTTTCAGGTCTTTTGAATTTATATTCAAAAGTGGGATATGCTGGATCTATTTTTAATTTCTTGAGGAAGCACCATAATATTTTTTATAACAGCGGCACCATTTTATGTTCCAACCTACAGTTACATGTATTCCAGTTCATCCACATTCTCGCCAACACATTATTTTCTGGGTTTTGGTTTTGTTTCTTTTGGGTTTTTTTGCTTTGTTTTGTTTTTTAATAGTCATCCTAACAGGTATGAGATGGTATCTCACTGTGGTTTTAATTTTCATTTTGCTAATGATTAGTGATGTTGAACATCTTTATGTGCTTATTGGCTTATTGGCTTATTGGCTATTTGTATAGCTTCTTTGCAGAAATGTCTATTCAAGTCAAATGTCTATTCAATGTCTAAATTGGGTTGTTGGATTTGTTATTGAGTTGAAAGAGAGGGGTGTGTGTGTGTTCTGGATACAATTCCTTTATCAGTCTTATGGTTCACAATTATTTTCTCTCAATTCATTAGGTTGCCTTTTCATTCTGTTGATTTTGTCCTTTGATACACAGAAGTTTTTAATTTTGAAGTACTCAAATTTATCTGTTTAAAAATCATTACCAAGACCCCTATGATGAAGCTTTTCCCTTATGTTTTTTTCTGAGTTTTATAGTTTTAGTTCCTAAGTTTAGGTCTGGAATCTATTTTCAGATCATTTTTATATATAGTGTAAAATAAGGTTCCAAATTCATTCTTTTTCATATGGATGTTCAATTTTCCCAGGACCATTTGTTAAAATTACCATCCTTTCCCCCATTGAGTATTCTCAGCATCTTTGGCAAGAATGCCTTAAGATTTAATTTCTCGGTTTTCTACTCTGTTCCATTGGCCTATATTTCTATCTTTATGCTAGTATCACACTATTTTGATTATTGTAATTTTATAGTAAGTTTTGAAATCAGGAAGTATAAGACATCCAACGTTGTTCTTCTTTTTCAAGATTGTTTTGTCTGTTCAGGATCCCTTGAGATTCTATATGAATCTTAGGATAGATTTTTCTATTTCTGCAAAAGACACCTTTGGGATTTTGATAGAAATTGCATTAAATCTGTATATTGCTTTGGGTGTATTGATATCTTAGCGTCATTAAGTCTCTGAATTCATAAACACGGGATGCCTGTCCATTTGTGTCTTTAACTTCTCTCAGCAACATTTATAGTTTTCTTTTTTTTTTTTTTTTTTTG